AAATTGCAACTAAACTAAAACACCAAATTCATATTGACAAACAGCTGTATTATGGTGAATCATTGCCAAACTTCATTAAAACGTGTCCTGAGAGATTTTGGCGGAGCATTAAGCCTAGATCTACTGAATGTAATGTTTTTGTAGTTGATGGAGTTGATGTGCATGATAGCAAGGTTATTTCGAATGCCTTTAATCAACAATTTAAATTGGTTTTCACCATTGACAATAATGTTCTTCCCTCATTCAATGCAGATTATCCACCTATACCTGACGTTGTTATCAGTGAGCACGGCATTCTAAATATGCTACTTAAACTCAATGTTAAAAAGACACCCGGACCGGATAGCATTCCAAACGCATTTTTAAAGCGTTATGCCGAGTGGATCGCCAAATATCTGTATGTTTTATTTTCAATATCGCTACACGAAGGTCGAGTACCAGATGATTGGAGGGCCGCCAGAGTCAAGCCTCTTTATAAGTCAGGTAAAAAGCAACTTATCTCAAATTATCGTCCTATTTCATTAACGTCAACTACCTCTAAGCTTATAGAACACATAATACATACGCATATCTCTGAGTTTCTTAGTAAGCATAATATCTTAAGAAAACACCAGCACGGATTCAGAAAAGGCTATTCAACCTGTACGCAACTTGTCGAGACAATTCACGATTTCGCAACTTCAATTAACAATGGGACACAAACTGACGCCATTTTTATGGACTTTTCAAAAGCGTTTGACAAAGTCTCACACAAGAAATTACTTTTTAAATTAGAGAAAACACTTAAAAATCCACGCCTAATAAAATGGATAGCAGACTACCTTATAAACCGTAAACAATTTGTTGTTCTTAACGAATTCTGTTCAGAAGAGGCAACCGTTGACTCTGGCGTCCCACAGGGTACGGTTCTTGGACCCCTTTTGTTTTTAATTTTTATCAATGATATTGTGAATGAAATTCCTGTAAAAATCAAGTTGTATGCAGATGACTGTGTCATATATTCTGAAATATCCAATGTAACCGATCAAATCATTCTGAATAGTGCCTTTTATAACATTGTGAAGTGGTGTGATTTATGGCAGATGTCAATTAACTTCGATAAAACAGTAATTATGCGAATAACTCACAAGAAAAAACCCTTACTATTTAATTATTCCACCGCAAGTTTCACCCTTTCTGAGGTAACTAACATTAAGTATCTTGGCCTTTGGATTACCAATGACCTTAGCTGGACTAAACATATTGACTCCGTAATTACAAACGCTAACCGAAAACTATTCTTCCTTCGAAGAGCTCTAAAACATTATAATTCCACGGTGCGTACTCTAGTGTACAGGACTATCATTCGCCCAGTGTTAGAATATGGAGTGATTGTTTGGGACCCCTTCACTAAAGCTAACATAACTAAATTGGAAAACGTGCAGAAGAAGGCAGTCCGCGTTATCTTTAATAGCTTTGGACGCACCTCTATAACTGAACTCCTACATCGTGCCAATGAGCCTTCAGTTAACGAAAGAAATCGTTTAATACGACTACAATTTCTTTACCAAATAATTAAAGGGCATTATAAGCTTGACGTTTCCAATATCATTTCCTTTTCTTCTGGGTACGCCACCCGCCAAAGGCATCAACTTACAATAACCCCTTTCCGGTCCCGAAATAACTGCTTCAAATATTCCTTTTTTCCTCGTACAGTAACTCAGTGGAATGAACTAACTAATAACCAAGTGATGGAGCCGTCCTTAAAGTTGTTTGCAGCAAATTTGACCTGATTGTTCACATCATGCCGTTCTATTTTTTGTTTGTTTGTTTGGTTTATGCATTCTTGAGTGCCAACATTGTGAAAATTATATCTGTAACCACCCTGCTAAAATCTCTGTAATAGGGATTGCAGTATGAATAAATAAAATAAATAAATAAATAAACTACACATTATCAAGCCACACCTTGGCCATTGGTTGCCAGTATCAAAATCACGTCATACACAGGTAACATTAACGAGGCTCAGGATAGGACACACATACACCACACACTCATATATTTTGTCCGGTGGCGATCCACCATTGTGTGACAGATGTGGTGAAGCACTAACAGTTCTTCACATTTTAATTCAGTGCAAACAATTGGACACTATAAGAAAACAACACTTTCCATTACCCTACCGACAACATATACCTTTACACCCTGCAATATTCGTCGGTAGGAAACCACTTTTTAGTCATAAATCATTGTTAGCGTTTTTACAAGAAATTCATGGTTTTCATATCATATACCCGGGCATTCCGTAGCACGACCTCTCCAGAAAGACTGTCGCTGCGGTGGCTACACAAGAAAGCACTTGCCTCACGGCCCTTGGACGCAAGGGTATGAACGAGTGAGGCACTCGTGCTAATGCCATACATATCCACCATCGTCTTTTATTATCACCAACTTTTGTCATCTATTCACACCACACACACCTTTCACGGCATGGTCATGATTTTATTACTTGTATGTTCTTACCCGCCTTACCGCGAGGAATTTTATGGCCCTTATACAGCCGCTAATCACAATCATTGTCCACATTTCTTGTCCTATGAACTGGCGCTCTTTCGCCATCGAATGGCCCTTGCGCCAAAAAACACCATATATCATCATCGCCGAAACCGCTCGCCCGAGACTGTGCATGTCATCCGGATGAAACCCTACTTGTCCAGCTAACTCTCGTTTGCCCTGTGGGTGCCGGTGCATATGTACGTCTTTATAAGTAGAGCGCCTTGGCTGCGCATCGGGACGATGCCATTTTTGGAGGGAGGCAAATGTCACGTCATCATCATCATCATCATCATCCTCAGCCTGACTACGTCCACTGCAGGACAACGGCCTCTCCCATGTTTCGCCAGTTAACCCGGTCCTGTGCTTGCTGCTGCCAATTTATACCCGCTATCTCATCTGCCCACCTAACCTTCTGTCTCCCCCTAACCCGCTTCCCTTCTCTGGGAATCCAGTTAGTTACCCTTAATGACCAGCGGTTATCCTGTCTACGCGCTACATGCCCGGCCCATGTCCATTTCCTCTTCTTTATTTCAACTGTGATATCCTTAACCCCCGTTTGTCCCCTAATCCACTCTGCTCTCTTCTTGTCTCTTAAGGTTACACCTACCATTTTTCTTTCCATTGCTCGCTGCGTCGTCCTCAATTTAAGCTGAACCCTCTTTGTAAGTCTCCAGGTTTCTGCTCCGTAGCTAAGTACCGGCAAGATACAGCTGTTATATACCTTCCTCTTGAGGGATAGTGGCAATCTAGCTGTCATAATTTGAGAGTGCTTGCCGAATGTGCTCCACCCCATTCTTATTCTTCTAGTTACTTCAATCTCGTGGTTAGGCTCTGCGGTTATTACCTGCCCTAAGTAGACATAGTCTTTTACAACTTCAAATGCACTATTACCTATCTCGAAGCGCTGCTCCTTTCCGAGGTTGTTGTTCATTACTTTCGTTTTCTGCAGATTAATTTTAAGACCCACCTTTCTGCTCTCCTTGTCTAACTCCGTAATCATGAGTTGCAATTCGTCCCCTGAGTTACTGAGCAATGCAATGTCATCGGCGAAGCGCAGGTTACTAAGGTATTCTCCATTTAACTCTTATCCCTAACTGTTCCCATTCTAGGCTTCTGAAAACCTCCTGTAAGCACGCGGTAAATAGCATTGGGGAGATTGTGTCCCCCTGCCTTACACCCTTCTTGATTGGTATTCTGTTGCTTTCTTTATGAAGCACTATGGTAGCAGTTGATCCCCTGTAGATTTCTTCCAGAATGTTTATATATACTTCATCTACGCCCTGATTCCGCAGTGTCTGCATGACGGCTGATATTTCTACTGAATCAAACGCCTTCTCGTAATCTATGAAGGCTATGTATAGTGGTTGGTTATACTCTGAGCATTTCTCTATTACCTGATTGATAGTATGAATGTGGTCAATTGTTGAGTAGCCTGTTCGAAATCCTGCTTGTTCCTTTGGTTGATTGAGTTCTAATGTTTTCTTTACTCTGTTAGCAATTACCTTTGTAAATAGCTTGTATACTACGGAGAGCAAGCTGATCGGCCTGTAATTCTTCAAGTCCTTCAAGTCCATAAATGTCACGTGCGTCCCGCTAAAAAGTCGAAGGCGACAGTGCATACGCGCATCTGCACGCTTTTATGCAGAACGCAACAACGAAAAACTCTCTGGCGCGCGCGGTTAATAAAAAGACCGACCCGCTGCCGTTTTCTCAGCGTCTTCAAATACGACCTCGGTCTTCACATCGCGACAATATATTCCACAATTTTCGAGTTGGCTTGTGAAAGGAAATATTCAGATTTTGAGTGCTCTGATGAAAAGCACATTGAAGCAGAGTTGTCGGCTAGCTAGGAAGTCTCCAATGATGCTACTGCTGGTAATGAAAGTGTTTAATTTCAATGTAACAATAAATGCCTTGATTATAAAGATCAGCAACAATAATGATGATGGTAAACATGTTGAAGCAGAGCTGGTTGCAAGCAAGTGTACTTGCCTTGAATGATTAAGGTGAGAGCATTGTCTATGACTAAAATCGCTGATGATGGTGATCATAAGGAATGATTATGATGAACACATTAAAGCACAACCATTAGCCTGCTGAGGGCTCATGAACAATTATGGTGATGGTTGTACTGATGATGAACGGATCCAACGGATGAAGGCATTCATTAAAACTATTGTTGATGATAATTATTAGCGCGTTGAAATGGAACCATTGGCAAGCAATGTTCCTATGTATGGCAGAGAAGGATTATAGACAGTGTAGCTGGTTAACCCAGTGTCCATGTGTGGACACTTAATTTCTTTAGAATTAAAGCAAAATTTTTCTGGTTTTGGAGATATTTACCTTTTTGCCTGTATTGTTATTGAATATATGCCAAAAAAAGTGCCTTCAACTGGATTAGTCATGGGATACAAAGGGCTAACTGTATGGGCTTTGGTGAACACTGCAATGCATTTCGGCAGGAACGTTGGCCGGGAACCTAGCAGAGAAGCCAACCGAGATGTTTGGCGAGACAGCCGTGAAGCTGGGCGGGAACGAAGTCCACGACGAACAAAGCCCCGCAGCCCAGTGCGACGCAGAGGTGGGCATTCACGGAGTCCTCGTAGGGGAGATGCTCGCACATTGGCTCGACGGAGCCGCTCTCCTCATGGCATGAACAGGTAAATCACTGCTGGCTTATCATTTAGGTGTAAAAAAACTTGTTTTATAGAGCAAGTACATAAATTAGTTTCCTAGTGCGAATAATTATGGCACATACAAATGGGAATATAACAGGCTGCTGTGCTTACTGTGCTGCTCTAGTTGCATCTCCTAGTTTTGCTGGCAAGCGAAGTCTCCCAATGCTCCCTTCTGGGAATTATGCCTGCTAGTTACGGTATGTTGATTCTGGGTGGCCTGTGCTCCTTAGACAGCTATAGCGGTAGTATGGGTAAATGGCATGTTTCAAATAAAAGTTCAGGTATATATTGTGCGTGCACGGCACCATACATAGCACACTTTCAGGATAGTTTGGGATGGGATGGACTGCTACTGTTGCTGTTGAAGCCTTTGAGCCCAAGGACATCTCGCAGTAATAAAGCTTTTTGTTGAAGTGGTTGGCTACTTCGTTGATTAAAGCACGAGCTGCACCACCCACCGTTCACTTGCTCATTGCCGTCATGTCTTGCGTGACCTTGGCACCAGATAATCGTGTGGTCCTGTGTTAGGTCAATTCCTGATAGATGAATGGGGCTGTGTGGTAGCCTCCCTGGTGAGGAACAGTCTACAATGGATGACCGATTTTTTGGGCCCTCAAGGGACAGTGAAACTGTCCAAAAAATAAACGGTTCAAGAAAGCAAATGTGCCCCAGAAAAGCTCAATTTATTTTCACTATATTGAGATAGAGGGCAAAAAAAGTGACTAATTCTTCTCTGGACCATGCTTCACTTCCGTGCGAGCAAGTCTACCTGAATATTACCGCGAGAGTTTGCGTCACTGTAAACCAATGAAAGAGTTGTGACCGCTCGCATCAGCTCAGCTTGCATTGGCTGCGCTGTTGCAGTTGAGTCGTCGTGGTCGTTCTCGAGCTCCGCAAGTGCTTGGTAAATGATTGCTTCATCCGTGAGGTCAGCGCACACTTGCAACTCACGGTTCACGTCTGCAAACTCGGAAAACGAGACATTCGAGGGCATGTCAATGCCTGCAGTGCATATGTAGTCGATGAGCTGCTCACTCCCGGAGGCTTGATCGACGATGCTATCTTTGTCTAAGGCACGGAGGAAGAAATATTTAGGAGAAGAAACTCACTCTCTCCCTTGCCTGCCACGCACTTGCCGCGGTGCTCGCAGCTGCCGCCTCGTCCATTTGCCCGCAACATCTGTCGCAACCGCTGCTCGCTACAGCGTCGACTTGTCGGTTCATGCACAATAAACATGGTGCGTGCCTTATGTACATATTAAAACATGTCTGTACGTGTCACCTACAAGACCCACGCCAGCCATCACTTCAAACGAATCCTAGCGCTCACCGGAGCACCCGCGTTAGCGCGGATCAAGCCGTGACGCCACCCATGCGCCATGCTGCTGCTTTGCATCCCATCAGGGAACGGGATGTTCCAAGTTATTTTTTTGTGTCAGTGTACATATTTCACAGCAATTATCACTTTGTATCTAACAGTTAGTCTAGATATCTTCATTAGTAATCCTTACTCTTACATATTTTGAATAGGTTTTCTAGTTCAGGATGCATTAATTGTACGGAATGTTCGGAAGAACTCATTCTGGAGATTATAAGCAAATACTTATGTTTCTATAGGTGAGAGACAGTGCAGCACAAGGGCATGAAGATGGTTAGGGATTGCTTTACAGTTTATTTCAGTGCCATAATTGTACAAAAATTATAGCTGTGCCATGAAAAACAAACATTTTAGGGCTACATGTCCAATACAAGTTTATTACATACTTCAAATTTGGTTACATGGTTGTAATAGTACAGAAGGAGGTCTCAAAGTTTCAGAGAAACTGACAGGGAGACCTCCTTTGGCAACATGAATGGGGTAATTACAAAAAAAAAAAGTACAGGAAGAGGTGCAAATTTGTGAGCAATGACTAACGAGGGCATGTACTTAGAAAAACCAGGTGCACTATATGAGTGCAATATTAGTGTGCCTGGTTCTTCTAAGTACATTTAAAAATTCCATTGTCAGCTACTGAGCCTTGCATGGCATCAAAACTGATGCAAGTATGAACTTAGTCTTGGGCATAGCAGTGTGTGGATTTGTGAGAACAGGTGGGCTTGATTTACTGTGATCATTATCGTGGTTCGAACCGCAGCCGTCAGAAATACCGTAATTACTCGAATCTAACGCGTACCTTTTTTCTGGTTAAGCGAGTTCATAAATCGCATGCACGTTGAAATTGAGTGCGAAAAAAAATAAATAAAATGAATACGGTCATTCTATTGCCATCTGCATTTGCAAAATGGCCGCCCTCTACGTGCTTCGGCACGGCGCGTCGGCCACTTCTGCCTATGTGTTTTCCACGTGCGGCACTTCGTACGTCTGCTGAGGAGTTCGTCATCTTGTAGTTCATTAGCATCGACGGCATGGAAGGGCCGTCTCTAGAAACTCTAGGAGTGCACCACGATGCCGCTTTTAAAAGAAAAGTCATCGCATGTGCCGAAACAAACGGAAATCGGGCCGCATCGCGGTCGTTCGGAGTTCCCGAAACGTCCGTGTGGGACTGGCGGAAACAAAAGCAGAAGATTGTCAAAGATTCATGCAAAGGCTTCAGTGGACCACAGCAGGGTCGGTTTCCGCAAATTGAAGAGCTGCTCGACGAGTATGTGCTTGAGTGCAGCGAGCGGCACAGCGGCCCGTGACAACAGAACTGCTCTAAGTGCGGGCTATGCAGTTATTTGGAAAAAGGGCTCACGCGGAGCCAGTTCAAAGCGAGCAGGTGCTGGCTAACTAATTTTATGAAGAAGAAAGGCTTTTCCCTCCAAAAGCGAACGGGCATGCGCTAAAACTACGCCAAAGTACGAAGAACGGGCATGCGCCAAAGTACGAAGAAAAGCTTCACAGTTTTCAGAGGTTCGTCCTAAACTTGCGGCACAACAACGGCTACCTGCTTGGGCAAATCGGGAATGCCGATCAGACGCCTCTTTACTTTGACATGCCTGGCACCACAACCGTCGAGAAGAAGGGGGCGAAGCAAGTTCGCTTGCTGACATCAGGCCACGGTAAAACAAGAGTGACGGCAATGCTCCGTTGCACGTCAGATGGGCACAAGCTTCCCCCGTACCTCATACTTAAACGGAAGACGCTCCCGAAAGGAGTCGTTTTCCCGAGTAGTGTGATCGTGCGGGTCAACGAGAAAAATGGGTGCGCATTGCAATCGATGTCTTACTTTTTTTTTTTTTTCGCCGGGAAAACCGAGTGCGCGTTACAATCGAGGGCGCGGTAGAATCGAGTAAATACGGTAGGCTTTATTCCCTTTTCTCTTTTAAGGTTTTCTCCTACTATGCCTACTGCTCCTAGGTTGCTGTTTTAAACATTTCATTTTAGTTTGTGATGACGTGTTTACTATTTTTGAATAAATTTTAGTTGTTTAATTGGTATCATACTTTCTTTAACCTTACTTTTTTCTTTTCGGGACATATTTAGTAACTACAGCAGCTATTGTGAAAGCATTCACAATTGGAAACCGTATATTAGAATGTACACAAAAATATGTACACCTATGACAAGTACGACTGGAGAGCCCACTCATGAAAGGAAATTCACGAAAGGAAAGGTAGGCACTCCTAAATAGTTTCGGGAAAGGGAAATCTGCCAACCTCACTAGCTGTTTGATTGATTGATTTGTGGGGTTGAACGTCCCAAAACCACCATATGATTATGAGAGACGCGGTAGTGGAGGGCTCCGGAAATTTAGACCACCTGGGGTTCTTTAACGTGCACCCAAATCTGAGTACACGGGCCTGCAACATTTCCGCCTCCATCGGAAATGCAGCCGCCACAGCCGGGATACGAACGCTAGCTGTTTGAGTGTTGAATTTTTCTGTGAAAAAATTCGGATGGTAAAATTTTCTTATTGCAGTTTTTGATTGTATGAAATGTGTAAAGTAGGAAAAAAAATTGTAAAAAAAGAATAATTCAGGACAGTTAATTTGTGTCACCACTGCTCAGAACTATAAAAGGTTTATTATTATTTCAGAGCGTGGTATTCCTTGAAACACAGCTTATGCGCAGCACCTTATTTTTGGGTGCGCATATAAAATGCATCTTTCTTCTCTTTTTGGAACGAGTTGTGCTGGCTGTAATGACGCGGGGAAACGGAAACCAAAAAAAGGTGTTGCCCATCAACGTATCTGCAGACTGTGCTGTGCGCGGATGGAAAAAAATTGGTTTTGTTCATCTCCACAAGAAGATAGCACAATTATTTTTAACACTTGTAAGTTCTAGATGGTGGCAGCACCTCCCAGTGCGCATGCATTCTCATTACGGCATGAAATTTCGAGTGGAGGATCGTTAACGTACCCATACGACAAAGACACTGTGGTATAGAAAACTGCTGTTGTACATGTACAGCAAAAACATTCAAAGGATTAAGAGAAAAGTATAGAATAACTGCATTCTGCCAGTTTTGACTAATTGGGCGGAAACATAAAGGGTGACATTTCAACTAGAGAAAAAGTTGAAGATCATGCAGGATGCAATGGAACACAAAATGGCAAGACAGTGATAGTATTGTTGCTCCAATTTCTCCAAACTGCTCGAAAAAAAAAAAAAAAATGCTGTTCCATGCTGCTCCAAACTGATTTATGTTGTGGATTGCCCCAAGCTAGCTTGGAAATGGCACTGAGAGAATGAGAATGAAGAAACTGTACGCCCAAGTCTTTAAGCCTTAAAGAAAGACAAAAAAAAAAAAACACTATATACAGTTAAACCCCTTTATAAGAGGCATGCTCTGGGCAGTAATTCTCGTCTTTTATACGAGATATCTATTATAAGCAGGGGACTTTGTATGCATTTTCCAATCCCTCATATCTTACTGTAGGCGCATTGGTGTCTCTTATACCCATTTGTCTCTTAGTATATCAGTGTCACTTATAAAGGGGTTCGACTGTATATCGTATTTACTCGCGTAATGAATGCACTCGAATAATAAACGCACCCCC